CACTTCCCTCGAAAGCCTGAGCATTTTTTCCAAGGCGTGTTTGATAAATGTACTAAGCGGTTGGATTAATGAAAAGGACTCAGGTAATAACAGTTCTGCAGTAAGCAGTTTTTATGAAGGGAGCTTATGGCAGAAACCCTTCAATTTCACAAGAGAAACAAAGAAAACTCATAACATCGCAAAATCATGATTCGAAAACCATGATCCAGAAGTACATCATGCACATACAAGCTAATCACAATCCATTGATGTGTGATATTTTCACCTTAGTGGAAATGCAATTGATCCGGAATTGAAACCAGGAAAACAGTCGCCTGAAGAGTTAGATGGAAAACTTTACTGATTGGTTACCAGAAGTGGTCAGAAATTCCAACTTTATGGATCTTCCTATATGATACTTGCTGTAAATGGAGCAAACACCGCTGTTATAAATTTTGAATTTAATTTTATGGGCTCTCATTAGCCGTTCATTTGTCAGAAGACAATCTAAATAAAATAACCATTACAGACATATACCATTAATAAACAGAACCATCGTTGTTTTCTTTGCGGTATAATTTGAATTTGAAATAAAACCATCCATCTTAAAGGTAGATCCAGTAGCACTGTCATCTGAAACCGTAATTTCCATTAAATCGCGAGCGACAGAAACGCCATAAACAGTTCTGATAGCATCCAGCTTTGAGCAAGCAGTGACTGTGTGAACATCTGCTCTGTTTGCCCCATGCTATATAACATCAGAAGGGGAAAATGCATCACTATCTCAGAGCAGAAAGCATAATAAAATTACTTCTACTTGCAAACCGACGGAAAACTCAGTCAATGACTAACCTTTCTGCAAGAAAAGCTCACATTAATGTTATGAATTGCAAAGCGACTCATCAGGTCAACAATCTTAGGATACTCATCGTTACAGTTCTGCAATGTCTTTCTACGTGCAGTCATATTGTAAAATAGGTTCTCAACCTAGTAAAAGGATGAAACCAAAATCCCCAAAATTTTATTAAATACATAATCATAATGAGGCTGAAACTTCTAACCATGAAGCTTCAGAAATATGCAAAGAAATTTACCATTATCTGAGTTCCTTTCACTGCAGCACAGGGCTTTGGTTCATTTTCCATTACTCCATCTCTATAAGAAACCCTGCATAAGAAAAATGCTCACACAACAAGTTCAAAAGCTCAAATAGCCTGGAACAGTAACGTATTTACTTAAAATAAAGAAACCTCCTTTTTTTCCTTGGAGATGTACCTGTATCCATGAAGTTGACCTTCAGTTATTGTTGTGACAGTGACATGGCCAACATATGTCATGCTCGACAATGCCTCACCTCTAAATCCCATTGATCTAATAGTCTGCAGATCCTCATATTTAGATAACTTTGATGTAGTGTGCCTTTCGCAAAGTATTGGCAAGTCTTCATACTGTTACACCAAAATGTAAAATCATTAACTAATGTTATACTATCAGAATCACGATATAAATGACTCATCCTCTTTGCATAATAACCCCATATTTCCTTCTCAGGAATATATAATAGGTTAGTGATACCTAAAATAGGAGAAGAATCATCTATTATCTTAGCCTTTCCCCTCAAAGGGGGTTGACATGGAGCATGAAACTTCTTGAAGGATCTAACAAAATTTTACAAGTGGTGGTCAACCTAGCATCAATTCTCTAAGTTGGGAGTGCTTGGCTTGTGAAACTGTGAACTATCTGATGCATGACTGAAATATTGAAAGATCTGAGAAGTAATTGAAGTAATATAATAAGCAACTGAGTTTATTTAGTTAAAGTAACCCAAGAATCATGCTCATATCATCATATTGGTTGCTGAATTCCACAAGATGTGGATTGTTTTTGTGAGTAATGATATTCCAAGAGTCTTTCTCTAGTCGTTATATAGCTATATAAAGGCCCTGGCCAGAGCTATTTGGAAAACCAGGAAGACTAAATAATGATTTATGTTAGCATACCTACATGATTCCAGTTATTCTCTAGATGTAGCAAAAATGTAAACTGTTTATGTCTACAGTGTTCTACAAGAAGGTTTAAGCGCCCACTTAAGCGGAAGCGGGATAAAAACACGCATGATTTGATATATACACTCAATTATGCAGACACCTACTTAATCAATCAATTTTTAAGTAAGCACTCCGGCATAATTTAAATTATGCCAGGCACTTTTTGTAATTTGATTGCGGTCTCGCTTACCTGCACCCGCCCCCCCACACCCCCCGCCCCACCCCCCCCCCCCCCGCCACTCCCAACCAACTCGCCTCCCTCGTGCTCTTGCTTTTGCGCTCGTTCGAACCCTCGGGCTGCTTAAAATAAAACCGTATTTTTCAACATTGCATGTCTATCTTCTACTATTGTTTCTTCATTGTTTTTTCTTGTACAGAGCAGGACACCAAATCTATTATTCTTGAGATCATTATTCCTTCTAGTCTTTACAAAGAGACCCATTTCATTATCTTTCTAATCTTGAAAGCTAAGAACTTGGCAGCAGAGCTTTAGCTTGTAAAAATGTTCCATTCACTCATTCAATCCGCTCTTCTCACCAAAAGTTTGACCTGTATTATTTTTGGTGGTCATGCCTTTTAAGAACACATGAGATCACCTAACTCATTCGATGTCTGCCACGATATAAAACCGTCTGTTGTCTTAATTCCATACGAGACAAGTTTTCTCGAACTTTTGTGTACGTAGGCATTCTCCAAGGAATTCTCCATGGAATTCTCCAAGGAATGTAATATACTGAAGGAAGTTACTGTCTACGCACGAAAAAGCAGTCAAAGCATTTTTGCAGGATTTTGCCAGGTAATAATTTCAAAAACATGGTTATAGATATGTTTTTTGGAGTTATTGCTAGGATTGAAGAGTGTGTTCTATTCATTTCCCTTTAGCAAATATGGAGTTCCTCGTGGTAGGTTTCAATTTCAACTAAGAGCATGAAACTACCTGTTTTATTTGAAGTGCTTCATAGACAAACGAGTCATATCTATTTGTTTACTTGGCGATATTTTCTAATATAAAGCAAATGTGAATCCAGTTTCACATTCATATCTAGTTCAGAGCTGATTTAGAGCCAAAGCTAGATTAAAGTCCAAGCCAAAAACTGACTTGGAGCAAAAGACTGAGTCTATGTTCTGACTTTTTCCCCCCAGCCAAACCTCTAGTTGAAATCTGAGATTTTATGAAGCTCCCTGTATGTGTTGATCATTTGGTTTGTGTACTATCAAGTGTCAACTTTGTGTTTCACAGTGGAAATCTCATGAAATTGAGCGACAAGTGGAGGGCGACTGCTCAATATGTTCAACAAGGGAAAAATGATAAAGATTCAAATTAAGTGGAGACGATGATGTAAGCAGAATTTTTCCTAATGAGGATGAATTGATCAAGGAACAGAAGTTGTTAAAAGATGTGGTAACTTTGGTAATTTATTAAATATGGTTGCTTCAAATAAAATATCTCAACAATGATGTTCTATCTTTTCTTAAAGCTTAGTCGCTTTCGGTGGTCATGATATCCACGAATCATGTTTTCAGTCATTTCATTGCATATACAAGCCTGGGCTTGTTAAAAATATACGAGGAAACGATGATCTAGGTTAGTCCTTGTATCTTTCCCGATATTCGTGTGATCTACTACTATATCTTCTTTGTTTCCTCTCAGACATGTCTGAATAACAATTCTACTGCTATTAGAACAATTATTTTCTCAAAGACCTATTTAACATCTACTTTAATCTATAATCCAGGTTACATCTTGACAAGAAGGTTTGAATAAATCTAGAAAGGCATTTAATGGGTATTAAAACCTATTTTGTTTTATCTTGCAATTTAAGCTTGTGCAATTAAGAAGAAACTACCCAAAACAGTTCAGCAAAGATGACAAAAAAGTCAGGCAAGAGAAAAGAGGATACACGCCCAAAAGACAATAGAGAACATTCCCCAAAAAAATTAAGAGTATGCAAAGGGGAAAATCAACCGCAATAATAACTATCTATAACGATGTCGGTTAAATCACCTAATTTGTCCACAACTTGCAAGAAAATGCCTTGAATCAAATAAACACCAAACAACTTCCAAAAATATAATAATAATAATAATAAATAAAAATAAAGAAACCACACCTTTTAATCCAAACCTCTAACAAAGAAACAATTCCCCAGCTGAAACACTCCATACCTTCTTTTAAGGTCCACAGCCAGTTTTACATTGTATTTTCAGGTCTATTCAAATTGCAACGACCACTTGTGCGTGTACCTCGAGTCGCAAAGATCATATATTACGCAACAAAGTTCCTTTTAAACCCTAAGCCCCTTCAAACTACCCTCGATTGCGTCCTCAAATCAAATCAATTTCAGCTAAAAACCCTAATTTGCATAAAAAAAATCAAGACAAACATATGAAGTGGAATTCTATCTGTAGTCATCTCTATCAAAATTCGATGAGATTACGTGCATGTACTCCAAATCTAAAAGATATCATCTTAAGCGACAAAACACCCTCTCTTAAACCCTAAACCCCTTACAGATCATCCTCTCTTTCGTCCTCAAACCAAGTCAATTTCACCATAAAACCCTAGTTCACATACCAAAACAAAGAACAAAACACGCAACTCAATGGAAACTCAATTTGTATAGATGATTAGGGATAAGCTTTTGTTACTCTGATGCCGTGACCGTTGTCGGAGACCTGGATGAGCTTGAGGCCTCCATCCTTGACGACGACGGAGACGGAGGTGGGCGCCGGCGTCGAGGCTGTTCTCCACCAGCTCCTTCACCGCCGACGACGGCCGCTGAACCACCTGCGGCGATCCTGTTCACCACCGTCGGATCGAGACGCCGGATTCGAGGCGGTTCGTTAGGGCCAGGGCTAGGGCTAGGGTTTGGCTCGTCGATTTCCATTTTGTCTTTTCAGGGAGCTGTCAATTCTCGGAGGGAGAAACGTAGCGAGAGTCGGGGGCGCAAGTGTAGGCGCTCTTTTTACGTTTTGTTTCCCCGCATCCTTAACATTTGATATTAGCCCCCCTAAATGATTAAATTTTGAAACCAGCCCCAAAATCTTAATAACTACTTTGAGAATCCATCCAATTCAACTAACCATGATTTTTTTTGGAAAGTTTTTTTTTTTTTTTTGAGAACAATGATTGTGCTATTAGTAACCACTAGTGTGCACCCCGTACAAAGCACGACCCTTTTTTTTATTTTTTGCTACAGTAATTCTGTTTTAAATTCTATGGTAATATGTTTTTGTGAATGCTGCAGGAATACTTTAAAACATACTGCAGTATCCAGATTGTACTACAGCAATAATACTCTAGTAATTACTGTAGCATGTTTGTATCATTATTGATGCAGCATGAATAGTGAATCTTTAGATCATCCTATAAGTATAGAGGAGAGTAGATGCATTTACTCATTCCCTCCTTCCTTTTTTCGCCATCCAAACCTCTTTTCTCTCTCTCTCTCTCTCTCTCTTCCCTCCTTTGACCTCCTCATTAGAGACCTCCTTAGCTCCTAAAAAGGGTTTAATGTCGTCAACCTCCTTTGACCTCCTCATTAGAGACCTCCTTAGCTCCTAAAAAGGGTTTAATGCCGTCAAGGAGTGAAAGAGGGGACGAAAGAGAAAGAGAAGGTCGCAGTAGGCAATGAGATGATAGAGGCAGTGGAGGAATTGATGAGGGAGGAGGAGGAGGAGGAGGAGGAGGAGGAGGGAAGGCCGAGGAAATGAGGGAGAAGATGAAGATTAAAGTGGGGTTTATATTTTGTTTGCAATAAAATTGATTTGAGGCTCTAAATGGTTACAAGTAAAATGAGTAACGAGTTTGTGTCTGTTATCAAAGGGCTATATCGGTTAGTCCATACCAAAGTTAATCTTAAAGAAACATTCATCTCAAATTGTTATGGTGTTTTCAGTCGTCAAATTATGGCCATTGCAACAACAATAAAATATCTCCCACCACACACCATTCAATCAACTCGATACTTAGGACGTACAACCAGAGTCAATCTAACCACTCGCCGAGTCGACATCTCGATAGGTCGACTCGAATGGCGATACTTGTCGATCCTCTCATCAAAGGCGACTTGCTACGAATCCACTCAACCTGTTAATTAGCTGTCGTTTCGCTGGGTCGACTCGAAAGGCGTTACTTTTCGGCACCCCTTGATACAGGTCAAAATGCAACTTCGACCTTTTTGCAATAAAATTGATTTGAGGCTCTAAATGGTTACAAGTAAAATGAGTAACGAGTTTGTGTCTGTTATCAAAGGGCTATATCGGTTAGTCCATACCAAAGTTAATCTTAAAGAAACATTCATCTCAAATTGTTATGGTGTTTTCAGTCGTCAAATTATGGCCATTGCAACAACAATAAAATATCTCCCACCACACACCATTCAATCAACTCGATACTTAGGACGTACAACCAGAGTCAATCTAACCACTCGCCGAGTCGACATCTCGATAGGTCGACTCGAATGGCGATACTTGTCGATCCTCTCATCAAAGGCGACTTGCTACGAATCCACTCAACCTGTTAATTAGCTGTCGTTTCGCTGGGTCGACTCGAAAGGCGTTACTTTTCGGCACCCCTTGATACAGGTCAAAATGCAACTTCGACCTTGAAACACCCGCTGATAGCGCGTCGACATCATATTAAATGCTCCCGGGCACTATTTATGACACATCCGACCACGTCGGCTTCGTGCGCTGTCTATCCCATCTCATTAATGCTGAAGTGACAATGCTTATTCCGTGACCAGTCCACAGCTGACGCGCGTAAAGCTGACGCACGTAAAGCTGATGCTGACTCAGCCGCCAACTCAGACTCGGCGGGAAAAGACTAAAATGCCCCTCATGCACGATTATAAGAAGGACGACTATTTCCAATGCGAAGGTAAGCAATTTTTGAGAACTTTTCTCCATTATACTGCATCAGAGAACTTAATTGCACAGTTCACCACTTTCCCACTCAAGCACATCACTGACTTGATCGTCGGAGGAATAACTGGGGAACTAGTCCCTGTCCTCATATGAGTTGTTACACGTACTGAGAAGAAGCAGCTAAACTCAAAATCAGATATTCAAAGAAGTTAGCGACCCCCTACTCAATCTCATCCCTACTACATCTGGCTAATTATTAACATCAACACAAATCAAACAACTCTTAACTAGAGGAAATTATTTCAATACAGTTATTTGAGTTGTAGGGCTAATTCGAAATTTTAATGATTTGGAACTAATATAAAGTATTAAATATGTGAGGGACTAATATCGAAATAAACCTGGCAAATAGGCTCGAAATTTTAATGATTTTTATCTAACTCCCCCTCTGATTTTCGGCCTATTAGCTTGATTAATAGTTCATGTAAATTTTTTTTCCAAAATCCTGGCAAACAGGCTTAGGAAAGTTCTTCACTTGCTCATAGATAACTCTCAATCGGCTTTCCAAGCAGGTAAATCCTCTCTGGACTCTTTTCTGCTAGGCCATGAAATGATCAACTACTGTTCCTCTTGAAAAAAAGAAGTGTGTGCCATTAAAGTGGATTTTTACAAGGCTTTTGACTATGTTAACTGGTCTTTTCTCCTTTCCCTTCTGGAAGCCAGAGGCTTTGGTCCTAAATGGTGTTCCTGGATACACCATATTGTCTCCTCGTCTAAATCAGCGGTCTTGGTTAACGGCTCCCCATCCTCCTTCTTTAAATGTTTCAGGGGCCTCAAACAAGGAGACCCCCTCTCCCTCCTCCTTTTTCTGCTAGTGGCGGATGTTCTTAGTAAGATGCTCAAATGCAGTGCAGCCTCAGGAGACCTTTCCGACCTAAATTTGAAAGGTAAACTCAATTCCATTAGAACTATTCAATTTGCGGATGACACCCTTATCTTCTCTAGGGCCAATTCTTCCGACATGGTTACTCTCAAGACAATCCTCTCCATTTTTGCAAGTATTTCAGGGCTTTGCGCAAACCCTCAGAAATCAAACATCTTCTACCTTGGTAAAATCCCTCACAAAGGTAATTTTTTGGCGGAGACTCTTAACTGTGCTGTCGGGTCCCTCCCTTTCTCTTATCTGGGTCTTCCCCTGAAAAGGGGATCTCTATCCAAAAGAGAGTGGCAACCTCTCCTAGAATCTTTCAAAAAGAAGCTATCCTTATGGAAGAACAAATCCCTCTCAATTGGAGGTAGACTAACCTTATTGAGTTCTGTGCTCTCCTCTATTCCCCTTTATTACATGTCTTTCTTCAAGTTGTCGGTATGGGTCATCAAGGCCATAGACAAGATTAGAAGGAATTTCCTCTGGAATGGAAATCACAGCTTTGCCAGATCTAAATGTCTAATCAACTGGGGAATTGTATGTAAGGCCAAAGATGAAGGAGGGCTTGGGGTGATCGACATCCCCTCCTTTAACTCAGCCATCCTCTCCAAATGAATCTGGAAAATTTTCGATAGAGCATCCCTGATCAGCGACGTGTTTTTCTCCATTTATTCCAAACATGGAGCTAACCCTTTTGCTAATCATCCGAAGAGTTCACATTCAAGATTTTTTCAGGACCTTTTCCAATCACATTCCGGTAATGGCATCACGGGAAGTTTTTAGCATGATAAATGGGCATCAGCTAACTCTCTTAGCAGTCTCTTTCCTCATGCTTACAAGCTAGCATTCTCGAGCAATTGTAGCATCGGATCGCAAGGAAGATGGGCCAATGGTTCATGGGTCTGGCACCCGATTAGTAGAAGGGGAACTTCCCCCAGTGAGAGGGCAGATGTTAACCATCTTCTCTCTTTCCTTGAGCATCAATCCCCAGGTGACCCATCAGAACAGGATGCTTTATGGTGGCCTCTTCACTCATCGGGCTCTATCACTGTAAAATCTTTTTACTCCTTTATTACTTCAGGGGGTCTTAAATTTAAGTTTTTCAACTTGACTTGGAAATCCAACATTCCCCTCAAGGTAAAAATTCATCTATGGATTATTACTAAAAGGAAATTGAATACAAAAGATAACTTGATTAAAAAAGGATGGACTGGTGATCCAAGTTGTCCCTTGTGTCATCGAGAGACAGAGTCTCACGATCACCTCTTTATCCACTGCTCTTTTGCTTGTGAAGTCTGGAACTACCTCCTCCCTCTTTTCCCAGTCAACAGTTGGCCCACTAATATGGAGGACCTGCTGCTGCTCTATCAAGTTCCCAACATTTGCCCGGACACAAAAGCCATATGGAAGATCTTGTTGCCATGTTATTGTTGGTGGTTATGGTTCTGTAGAAATTCGTTTATATTTAGGGATATTGTACCTAATTCGCTAACTATTGCTTCTAATATCGCGAGATTTATGATTTTCTGGTCAAGTGACGGAGATGACAGGACGGCGAGGAGACTGCGAAGGGCAGCCCTCAACCTTGGCCTACAGGAGCTAGCAAAGAAGCCTCCCCCTGCGGATGCAGAAGATAACCCCTCCAGCAACTAGCAGCTGCGCCTTGAGCTGCATCAGGAAGAAGAAAGAAAGTATGTTGGGTGATGTTGTTCCATTTTGATTAGTTGCTAGCTGCGCCTGACAATTCCAGTTTAATTTCTCAGTCTGTTGCTGTTTGCTAATTCCTCTTGGATACGTTGTTCTCTTTGTTGGTTTTCTTTTGTTTTCTCTAGACGTCGGAAGTGGTAGGTTTTGTGTGGTAGGTGACGACAATGGTCCGCTCCCTACCCACCACTCCCACTGCTTTCCTTCTATCTAGAGAAGTTATATGTATTTACTTCCAAACTTTTGAAAATTATTAGGTTTTCTCATGTTAGCCCCTTTAACGTTCAATATCTTGAGATTAGTTCTTTAACTCATTTGAAATTTTGAATTTTTATGTTGTTATAAAAATGTAGTCCCTTATATCATTGGAATTGCTATTACCTTTGTTAATTCTTATATAGTTGTTTCAATTGACCACTTACCAATTAAGAGTACCAGGAATCAGGAAGCTATTAGCAATTTTAAAG